CAGGGGCGGCGAGAAGATGGAGGAGCTGGTGGTGGAGGTGCGGGGCTCCAATGGCGCTTTCTACAAGGTACGATTGCTGGCAGGCCCGTCACCGCCCTCCCCGCCCTCCCTCTTGGAGCGGCCTCGGCGGGACGTGAGCCTGGGGTCGGGCGGCGGCCGCGTGGGGCAGAACCGCGGGGCCTGAGCAGCCCCTGAGGCCCGGCGCGGTGGGAGGGGCGCCGCGAGTCGGGAGGACTAGGGCGGCGCAGGTAGCGCGGCGGGCAGGCCGGGCCGCCGTCCCAGCGCCCGCCCGCCAACTTGGCCTGCTTCAGGGGCCCCTGCCGGGGAGGCCCGGCGCCCAAGACGGGCAGGTCCCCTCAGACGTCGCTCTCCTGGGGCCGGATGGGCACTTGGGAGGGCGCCGCGCCTTTCAGTGAGGTGTGCAGCCAGGGTGGTCCAGAGCGGTCATTGGGACCGCATGACAATGGCAGCGGGGCTGGACGGGGCTCTCAGTCTTTGTGCCTTCTTAGAAGACACTCCAAAGTTCCCGAAAGACCCTCACATAGTGGGGCCATGCGAGCACTCTAGAAGTTGGTAATCCTTTAAGCTTCGTGCTTCTCCCCGCCGCCCCCCCCTTGCCCTCCTTTCCTGAATTTTTTTAAAAAACCTGGACAAATTCAGAAATATTGCGCCTACGACTCACAACAATTTTTTTCTGTCTCGAAGGCCCCAAAGACTGGAATATGTACAGCCACGTAACTTCAGCAAATGAATCGAGAGTGTATTATTACTAAGGAATTTTAAGAACGGAGTGTTTGGGTATATTTGTTCTCTGCTGTAAGCCTAGGAATTTGGCGATCTTCTCTTTGCATGGCTTGATATGGAGTGGACTGCCCCGTGGTGGTCTTACCTAGGCTGCCCTGGTTTGGCTGGCGGTTACTCTTGGGGCAGTCACATCTATGCAGAGTACCTGATAGCTTCCATGGTACAAAGGAGATGACTAAAGATCATCTTGTGATGGCTCAGTAGTGCGTTCGTTGGTACAAATGTACTTGAGCAGTCCATAAATTCTTCCCCCTTGGAGGTCTGAGTAACTTCTGGAAGTAAGAGCCCACCTTTCTACAGTCTACAGTATTATTGCCAGTAGAAGGTGCACATGGCAGAAAGCGGGGCCATTGTCCAACACGATGTTAAAATTACAGGATAACTCTGTGGTAAAATTAGAGAATAACTATGGTTTCAAACGGGACTTGTTCAGCTCCGAGGACCGAAATCATTGGCTTATCTACTGAACACATTAGCTTCTTAACAGATTTATGAAGGCACTTGGGGATCAATACCTCATAAATGACTAGAGAGGCAGCGAGGACTATGAACCTGTTGTCTATACTGGGAGGTGAAAGTTAACCCAGGCTTTTTGTTCTTCACAGAGTCTCTCTGATATTAAAATGGGACGATTGACCCTGTGGCCAAAAATTGTGGCTGCATTTATTTCTGCAAGCTGTGATTGCAAATGGTTTGTGTAGAAGAATTCTGGTTCCTACATCTGAGATTTGGGTCCTATATTGGAGGGACAGCTATAATATTATGCAAGCCAGGACTAAAGGCTGAGCAGTAGTATTTTAGTGGATCTACAATGGCAGCTTATACTAGACTTGGATCTTTTAAGAGAATTTGCTTGCTATAGGAGAAAAGCAGCACATTCTGCTCTTGAAGGATTTATTGTTCACTTCCAGCAATATGGGCTTTGCTCCACGGATTTTACTTGCAAAGGGACTTGCATATAAGAAATGCCCTTACGGCCCCTTTCTTGCTTTTCTTTTTTAACCAAGTGACTAAACTCGAGGGTGAATTAAAACAAACGAAAAAAAAATGGTATCACTTAGTTCTTTCAGTGGCAAAGTAGAACTTGAACAAATGAGTGCAGAGAAGTTTCTGTTGTATCAACAGGCAGTTTCAAGGCCACAGCCATCCAACAGAAGTACAAGGAATCCTCTGCCCTGAAAAAACCTATTTATTACAAGTTTGAGGGACAGCACTACTTTACAATGTACATCAAATCCTTTTGTATTACTCTATTGTGCTTTAAAATGTTAGTATTTGTAGTTCTTTAATGGCCTTTATGCATAGAAAAATATACTGTGTGCTAGACCTGTATCGAACTCTTCCAATGTTAAAGACAAATTGGACTTTTAATTGGACTCTGAAAAGCAAATTGGGCCAGTTAGGAATGGGGACATAATCCAGAGACATCTTGAATTTAATGAAGGAGTTTTTGGTTTGTTTGCTTTTTTAATGAAAACCTCAACTGTCTCGGCTGGTTAAAAAAACAGTTTCTATAGTGAAAAGTTTAAATGTTTTTGTAACTCATAATACTCCTCTGAGTTATAAAAGCAGAGCAAAGGTCAGTTGAATTGCTTGTCATATCTGGTAGGATGGACAGGAAAGATAGGAAATGAAGACCAATAAAAATGAACTGCTGTAGAGAAGTGTGCTGCATTTATGAAAAGGGGGGACTTGATTCATCAGATTGATTTCTTTAAAAAAAAATCCTTTGCTAAACAAATCAAATGTTCTTGTTATAATTGAATCCATACTCTAATATGCCTACTAGAGTTACCAATATTGCAAAGGATAAGTCTCCACCTTCGGAGCCCATGCTCCAGACTCACAGTATAAACTTGGTAGAGTATATGCTCGTGAAAATCTTATTCATTCTCTAGAAAATAGCTCATGGTCAGGACTGAGAATTCACATAGCCACCCAGCCTAGATAGACACTCACACCGTCCCAGTTCCCGTCTACATTTTCGCTCATGCTGCTTCTGAAACATTGGGACGTTCGATGACTATAATTATCATAACCACTACTTTTATCCTCCGTTATCTCTTTGACTTTGGGTCAGTGCCATGTCTAGACCCTTGCATTATCTAAGATTCAAAGCACTTTGAAATAGACCTCACAAAATCTTTATACACCATTTTCTAAGGGAATAATATTGAAATACAATTTAATTGTAAAGACATCTGCCACACTAACTGTAGTTTTCTTTGGACTAAGTGTTTGGATGTGTGGAGATTGGTAAGTACTCAACTCCATTTTAGAAGTAAAGTGTGCTTTGCTCCAGTGCGATTACACGGACGACCTTCAGATGACTAGTGTTTGCACCTCATATCTTGGCAGCATGCGATGCAAAACCTCTTAACTTCTCTGAAAGTATGGTGACTGATACCTGATCCCTTGTCATATGGTGAAATGGTGCTTGATTGTGCTCTTATTGTGACATTAATATTTTAAAACATCTTAAAATGTTAAGTTTGGTATCTGAGATGAGAGACTTCCATTTGGTGAGTATTTTAACTGTAGCTTGCAGCTACATATGATGAAATGAACAATTGAAGGAAGACTTTTAAGAAAGAAGTGGTCTAAAATGCCGTTTTAATTACATTGCCCAGTAGCGCAATCACTTTTACTACAGATAAACTTGCCTAAGGGACTCTTCCGTGAGTGATTTTGCTCAAGTCACCAGTACTGGCTTTGCATGCAGGTATTATGCAAGGAAGCGGATTTTTCAGGCATTTTCCCCTCCTTCTTTGTCTAAATAACCTTTTTAGAATTTACTATCTTTGAAAGCATGGTTTTCTGCCCCCTTTGCACTGTGTACTTTCCACCTCCACGTTCAAGTCTCCCTCGGGCTCCTGCTAGCTAGCATCTGGACGATGAGGTGAAAGCAGACCTCGGAGGTAGAAAGAAGGTTTGAGTACTCCCAGGTGCTCGCTAGTGGGCTATATGCTCACTGTGTTGGCTGTGATCATGACTAACCACGGTGAACAATTATCGAGTGCTTGCTAGGCGCCAGGCACTGTTCTAGGTGTTTTTCTTCCTTAATCTACTTAATCCTCTGGTCTCATTTGCATTGTTGTCCAGAGAAGTTTAGTGCCTAGTGTCACCAAACTATTAAGGGTTTGAAATCAGACAGTCTGACTTCCTGAAATGTTGTAATTTATCTCAAATGACTTGGATGTGATTTCTCCCTCATCTTGAAATTTCATTGTGGCATCTGATTGCATTGGTTATTTTAGCTATATATATATATATATATATATATATATATATATATAAACAGCCATCTATAACTACAGTGGTAGCTTGTAGTGCCATTTTTTACTATGGACACAAAACCCCAAACCAAAGAACCCAAACTCACTGCCATCAAGTTGATGTCATTTCATGGTGATCCTAGAACTGCCCCTGTGGGGTTCTGAGATTTATTTTTTTACTTTTTAATCTTGCAACTTGACATTCTTTGTAACTTCTTCCTGTGAATGGCCCGTTCAGGAAAAATCAGTAGAAGTCTTTGACCAACCTTTGCCATATGCAGTGGTTGCCTTGGGAGCGCTTAACCGAAGCACTCCAAAGCTACTCCACATGAATAGAAGCAAAAGAAAGTGCCCATTTTATTGTTTTCTCTGCCTCTGCATTGACTTTGGTCAATGCAAAGCAGAAAGACTTAAGTATCATATAATTTGTTATTCACAGTCCAGTGTAGTGCTAGAACAATTCTAGTTAGGGAAAACCTGTGTAATACCCTCAAAAAGAAAATCCGCAGAAGATGGAGACATGGGAAATGTGATGCAAAAAGATTGAAATGAACAATTGAAGGGAGTCAGTGAACAGAAAAGTGCAATGAACCTCATTCATAATACGTGCACTTGACACCCACAGCTCATGTCCAGCCTCCATACAAAGAGGGGCCAAGTAAAAAGGTGCATTATATGTGAAGTGGCTCGTTTCCTCATCAGTGCTGCCAGCACTGTCTCCAGTGAGTGGCTGGGCACTGGCCGAGTGCATTGGTGGCCAGGTGCTCACACTGAGCCCAATGGCTCACAAATGAGATTATTTACTACTAAGTAAGTTGGGAGTGTGGAGTATATTGGGATAGGAAGACTCTGCCTATTGTCTTGTGGACGGCAGTGTTAGAATTGGATAACTCATCATTCTGAAGTTGGGTAAGACTAATTGTGCTTGCTTCGTGGGTCCACCGGCCAGTAAGTTGGGAATTCCAGAGTGGTTTCTGTTTTCCTGTTT